CACTTTCCCATCATAAGGTGAAACTAGAGAACCCAGTCTTTCTCAGCATGAAGTAGATATGTGCATGGGATCTTATTGAGATGGCTGCGTGGCTTTTCCATGCCCCTCCCTCTATTTTTACAACATTAAACAAAAGCAATCCATTGCATGTATTGTGGTGTAGTGGTTAAGAGTGGTAGTCTTTTAATCTGGTGAACCAGGTTCGCGTCTCCGCTCCTCCACATGCAGCTGCTGGGTGACCTTGGGCCAGTCACACTTCTTTGAAGTCTCTCAGCCCCACTCACCTCACAGAGTGCTTGTTGTGGGGGAGGAAGGGAAAGGAGAATGTTAGCCGCTTTGAGACTCCTTCAGGTAGTGATAAAGCGGGATATCAAATCTAAACTCTTCTTCTTCTTCCAAAACACAATGCACAGGGAGAAATGATATCTGACCCCACAGGCCTATTGGAGTTACTTTCCCAGAACCATTCTTAAGAGGTTTTTAAAGCAACCTGCATTTGGCTGCTGATTGCACTGGATTGCCTTTAGTTAACTTTCAAAAAGAAAGAAAAGAGACAAAAGATAGAATTTCTGGCCACCCCATCAAATAGTAAACATCCTCCCATCCCAAACTCTTTTGTCTCTCATCTGGGGAAATTCAGCAGGGTTGCATGTTCAAGTAAACACTAACAAAAGCTCATCCATGGTTCCACTCCACTTAATCCCTTGCTAATACCTCCTCACAGAAATGCTTTCTGTCCAACCCAATCTTCCTCCATTGCCGCCACCCAAAAGGCAAGTTCCCTGTTATCCCAGAAATCTCTGGTGCAAGAGCTCTTCTCAGTACCAGCACTGAACCTATGCTTTGCATCCACAAATTTGCTGCTGACTCCGTCTTTCACCCACCCACTTTCTTCTTGACAGTTCTCAGTCTTATTCCGGTCCCTGACACATGCAACTGTTGCTGCTGCTTCAAGTACATTACAATATAAGACGTTCTCTGGTGGCAGGCTCTGAAGCAGATTTACAGAGCATGTGACCTCTTGTGTAGTAGAGCAGAATGTTTGATCTGGGTGCTGTGGCTGAGAGGATAATGCTAAAGCCCTCCAGCTAAGGATCAAAGGGAAATTTTCCTAGCTGCTTGTGTTATTCGCTCTCTTGCAGTTAAATAAAAATGCAGAGCCTAAGCTAAACTGCATGTTTACCAACTTTTCACAACGGTGACATCTCAAAATTCTGCAGAGACAGGCTTAGCAATTGGAATTCTACGCCAATGCTGAAGATTTATGTTTGAGCAGTGTGGATGTGTTGTACTGCAAAGTCTAGAGGGGATTCAAAGCAAATGGGTTGCTTGGGGTACACCCTGCTGCATAATAAATACTGTAAATGCACTGAGTTAAGACATTATGTCATTAGGTGTGATGCTTATTTTAGTAAGCAGGCGAGCCCGTTATCATGGCTTCTCATTAAGAACAAAGCCACTTTAGATTTTCCTCACCTTCCACGCTGTTTGCATGAGCATGCAGAAATGTGCCAAATGCATTAAAGGAGACGAAATAGGATATAACAGCTTCCCCCCAGTGTCACAAGACACTGCTATTTTCTGAAATGGACTCATTCATGATCATGGCCCCAAGGGGTAAAGTCACATGGTGGTGCCTATAAAGCAGCTATTAGTATTCAGGCAAGTCAGAGGTCTGTGCTTGCTATTGATATTACTCTGTTGTAAATGGAGTGCTATACTCTCTTCCATTACCATCTTGATCGTAAATAGTGGCTCAAAGTACAAAAAGTATTACTGGTTGCAATGTCACTGAGCTGTTGGGAACAAATAGCTGGAAAGGACAGCAAGGAGAATATTAGAAGCCGGGCCTTTGCTGATGGGCAGGACCTACGCAGCCCTGCCCACAAATTCTTCGGATAGAAACATCTGGGGGGGGGGCGGTAGATGCTGCATTGACACCATTACTCATTACTGTCCTTGCAGTAAAGCTTTGGACATATACTACTAGAAGAGCAAGACATGTTTGGCTTTGTGATGACTGTAATAAGTGGAGCTTGATATATGACAGGTGGCCCTCCACATGTTGCAGAACTAAAATTCCCATCAGCCCTAGTAAACATGGCCAATGGTCAGGGATGGAGGGCAACGTGTGGAGGGCCAGAGTATCCCCACACCCGATGTATGCCTGGTTTAAGGATCTCCAGAGTTTTGAGGGTATAGGTTTTGCAGTAAGGATGTCCTCGATTGTCTTGCAGTAATTTAAATTGTCATGTATTTGCTTTCATCCGCAAGAAAGAGAAGACCAAGGATGTCTTCAAACACTTTTCGATCTCACAGCTGGCAAGTAAAAGAATATGTGATGTTTCTTTGCCACAGAGCACCTAAAATAATTACTTATTCAGCGTAGATTCCCTCTCATTTTCCATGGCTCTGCGTGCCATTGATAATAGTCTTTGCACTTCAGTTCATGTGGTATGGAAATTTGGTATAGGGTGGGGGTTTTCTTATCTAGTGGATCTTTAGCACAGAATTCTAGACTTGCTGATTTTGCAGCTTCCTTTTCATTTGAAGAGCAATTTTGCACTGATATTGTTCTATAGTTTTCAATGCGTTTTGCCATGATTTAAATGCAGGAGTTCAAGGGAGACAAATCAGCCCCACTGTGCCAGTTATTTTATACAGTAGCCAGCAACTGGCATTGTATAGAAACTGTTTTATCAAAAAAAGTAAAAATACTGCAATTTATTTTCTCTGTATTTTTAACCTTAATTATACACTGCAGTACTTCAAAGAATTAACTACTGCAGGTGCATAGTGGGGAGAAAAAACATTAACAGTGGAAGAGAGAAGGAAAGGTAAAGGCAATTGTGAAAAGATATGTTGCCGGATAAGATCTGAAAAACAGATGGGAAGTCAACAAAGCAGAGAGAGAAGGGATGCTGTTATGCTCAGCAGGAGCTGAATAGGAGGCGTTTTTCATTTCAACAGTTAAAGAAGATAGTAGAAAGAGACTGGAACTAGATAATCAAAGAGAGAATCTGATAAATAACGGAAAAAGCAAGGGCAGAACAGCATTAACTCATTAGATTGCCAGAATTCTTTTAGCAAAACTATAGTCTCAAAGGATATATTTTCAGATGGTATGCTCTACAGTCTAGTAGCTTCTTCACCTTAGTTCCATAGATTATTATGGGCTAATTTTAGCAAATGCCTGTAGTGCAGCCCCCAACCGGCACTGCAACTTATAGTGGTAAATTTTAGAAGGTAGAACAAGATACCCAAAGGATTTGTGTAAGAAGAAACAGGTATTTAAAATTAATGAATATCTTATGAAAACTCTCTTATTCTTCACAGCTTCTCTTTAATTCCAAACCCAAAACACAGTAACGCAGAACAAGAAGATAAGGAACAATCAGTGACATGCTAGAACTCCCTGTCATGTCCTCACTCCCTTGTTCTCTTAGAATGCCAATGCTGCCCCACCTGAGAGGTGCTGGAATTGAGTTCCAGCGAATTCTGACTGGGAAAAATCCCCGGGAACAATAATAATTGTACTGTTGGTCTTCTTCTGGGCTTTTAAGGATTTTATAAATGTATTCAAAATAATTTGGCTGTGATTTTTAGCAGTTCCATTATAATATTCTCCCCCTTTTAAAGCTCCTCCTCCTACTTGTTCTTCCTTGTTCTTCGTTTTAAATAAAAATCTAGGAACAGGGTAGGGTAGATAAATAAAGGAGAGCTATGCATGAATAGGAAAAACAACAAAGCATTCCAACTACAAATTTACAAGGGTCAAAAATGACATCAGTGGATCTGTTGTGTTAAGTTTTCTATGCATTATGTATAAGGTCTGCACCATGCATTTAAGGCAGTATGATACCACTATAAACAATCTTGACTTTCCCCCCAAAAATTATGGGAACTGTAGTTTGTTAAAGGTGATATAAGTTGTTAGAAGGTTGATTATTAAACAACTCTGGGAACTGGGAGGGGAATAGGGGCCTGGAACAACTCTCACCATCTGTATAAAACTGCAGCTCCAATAATTCTTTGGGAGAAGTCATGACTGTTTATAAAGTGGTATGATGCTGTATTAAACATATAGTGTAGGTGAGGCCTAAGTGTGTGTGCAAATAATTTTATTTGTATCCACCTTTCCACAGTTCAAACCTTGCTCAAGATGGCTTACAGCATGTAAAAATACATAACTACAACATAACAAACGTAGTCATAAACAATAAATTAAGCATAAAAAAATACAAACTGAACATTTTCAAGATAAATTACACCAAAGCCTCGCAGAAAGATACAAAAAACCAACAGCAGCAGCACCCCAACTCAGCCTCAGCTTTTGCAGCTGGAGTCAGTCAGGGCTCCACCCTCCCTGGTCAGGTGGAAAAGGCCTTCAAGGCAGAGCAGCAGGTCTTCCAGGACTCACAGCCAAGATAGTCTCTGGCTTTTTCAGCCTCAGCTTCTGCAGCTGGAGTCAATAATAAGAAAGGCAGTATGTCTGGGCTATCTGTTCTAGTGTTTGAATGAAGAGGTGGGTATGGGCAGAGCCTGTATCCTTTCCTATGCATGCCTGTTCTACACAGTGGATGAATGCCTAAAAGTTTTTGCAGCTGTTCTCCTAGCTGTTTATTAGGCCCAATTGCTGCATTCTATTTCTAAAAGATAATGAAATTGGCATTTGATTATTGAGAGGGTATAATTACTATAAGAGTAAAGTTTTAAGCGTGTAGGGGTGGTATTGATTTTTGAAATGCTTTTGCATTTTATTCATTTTATTTTTAATGACAGAATATTTTTTCATTTGCTTGGACAAGTTTGATGTGGGAAATAATTTTGAAGTAAAGCACACTTCTGTATTAAAATGCATGTTTATGAACTGCCGCAAGATCACTGATACTTTTCTTCAAAGTTCAAAAATGTTATCACCCTTTTGATGACGTTACAAGACTCTGCGCATTAAAAACAGGTGCTAAGTATATTTTCTCCCCTTTCCTTCTCTTGTTTAGATTTGCGACAAAGAATGGCACTACTATGTCGTAAATGTTGAATTCCCAGTAGTTACTTTGTATATGGATGGTACAACGTACGAACCTTACCTTGTAACGAATGACTGGCCTATTCATCCATCACACATAGCAATGCAACTTACTGTTGGCGCTTGTTGGCAAGGTAAGTAGAAGACTGAAATGTGTAAATTAAGATTTGAGGACATCTACTGTACAGTAAAACCTCAGTAATATTAACCAAAAGCAAGGTCCTATCATGTGTGTATGTGTGTGACCTATGCTTCAGAACAACGACACTGAGCATAGTCTTTATGTGGTCTCAGAAATGCCAAAGATTTCATATATTTTTTTTAAAAAAGAAACAGTTTCTGGAGATAAGGATATAGAGTTAGGACTCACCTATACAGCTGCAAATAAAATGTTTTAAATGTGTTGTAAAGTGCAATATACAAATATGGCAGTAGATGGTGAAGTTGAGTGATGCCAAATTCAATGTATTTTTCAAAACTTTAAAGCATCTTCACAGCATGGTGTTTTTTTTTTTTTTTTAAAGTATGTAGATTCCACCCTAGAGATCTAAAGAGAGGGCTGCGCAGGAATACAGTCATACCTCACGTTACGTCCACTTTATGTTACGTTCTTTCAGGTTATGTCCCGCGCGACCCGGAAGTACTGGAAAGGGTTACTTCCAGGTTTCGCTGCTCACACATGAGCAGAAACGCAAAATGACATTACACGCATGCGCAGAAGCGGTGAATCACAACCCGCGAGTGTGCAGACGCGCTGCTGTGGGTTGCGCACTTTTCATGTTGCAAACGGGCCTCCGGAACAGATCCCGTTCGCAACCAGAGGTACCACTGTAGTAAAGTGTCATAAGGTTGCTCCAAATACAGCTCCTTACTGCCTGACCAATAAAGCTCCTGGCCAAAATGTTGGGGTTTTGTTTGTTCTTTTGGTTGATTTCAATGTTTTATTCTGAATGGCTTCATTTATGTATGTCACTTAGATATGCAAACGATTAAGCAGCATATAAATGTATTGAGTAAGCTAACTTTTTATAAAGGAACCCTATTCTCTGATAGTGTCATCTAGTTTTCTGCCCTTTTGGGTGCCACTAAAGCAGCTGGTCTGAAGGAGCAACTAGAGGTTTATGGTACCCAGAGCCCAGCTGACTCAGTGGTATGTCAGGCGACCTGGGGAACCAGTAAAGTGGCATATTGATTATAAACCTTCAAAACACCCACCTGCTCTTTGGTCGGAACAACTGGTCATTCTGATGAGGACCATCTGCTCACTACCTTGCCTGACTCCCTAGGTTCCTTATAAGACTTACTAGGCTCTCACCTGTAGTCTTCTTTCACAGTTTTGGTTACAACTATCCCTTTGAGCACCACCACCTGGAATCATTGCATTTTCCTTCCCACTAACCTGATGCCAATGCAAACGTATGAACTGGCTGTCCATCAAAGCTGGCAAGAAAACAGACTTCTCTTTTTCTTTTCTCTGGCATTATTTCCATAATTTGCTGCTTAATCGAGATGCAAGTACTTTAACTTCCCTCCTTGCGAAAAGACTGAGCAATGTGCTGTGTTCATGCAGTAATCTGGCCCATAATAGATTTATAGTAGGGGGGATTTTGCAAACAGTGTGACAAAAATATTGGACATAACTTGAGCAAGAAAAGAGACGTGCTGTTTGTTGTTTTGATGTGGGAAAAGCTTTTGACTGCCTGGAAGCAGGTTGCCTCAGGTTTTCTTTTTAACTTACTGCAAAAGAAGAATTTGGGAATGGACTGCCTTTGGGAAGTCAGAGCTCGATGCTCTTAGTGAAGGTTAATAACTTCCAGTGTGGAAAATTTCAGATCAATTGTTGGAGCAGGTAGGGATGCCCACTTTCCCTTTGTACTGTCAATTGAGCTTTTAGCTGTGAGTGTGACAGTCCAAGCAATGCAAAGGCCAAGGGAATCCAAATTGAGGGTAACTGTCATAAAATTAGCTTATTTGCTGATGGCATAGTTCTATATTTGACCAAACTGGAAACAGCAGCAGCAGCAGCACTATAGGAACTAGTTATGTGCCTGTTGTAGAAACTCCTTATGTTCTGCTAACTTCACAAAATCTTAAATGTTTCTGGTCAGTATCCCTGCTCAGTATCAACAGCTTCTACTGTCCAAATAGGGCAGCCTTACTTTGCTGAGGACAGTCCTATACTTTGAAAGGGTGCAGAAGAATAACCCTCTAAAGGGATGCAAAGTCAGGGGGATCCCTGACCATTAGGTCCAGTCGCGGACGACTCTGGGGTTGCGGCGCTCATCTCACTTTATTGGCCGAGGGAGCCAGCGAACAGCTTCTGGGTCATGTGGCCAGCATGACTAAGCCGCTTCTGGTGAACCAGAGCAGCGCACGGAAACGCCGTTTACCTTCCTGCCGGAGCGGTTCCTATTAATCTACTTGCACTTTGACGTGCTTTCGAACTGCTAGGTTGGCAGGAGCAGGGCCTGAGCAACGGGAGCTCACCCCATCGCAGAGATTCGAACCACCGACCTTCTGATCGGCAAGCCATAGGGTCTGTGGTTTAGACCACAGCGCCACCCGTGTCCTATTTAAGGTCTCATTTAAAGGTCTTATTTAAAGAAAACCCAGTTTAAAGATGAAGAACAGTAAGCAGGGAGAGTGGGAGACTTGAGGTTGTACATCAACAGTTAGCAGCACCTACCCAGCTGACAAAGCTAGCACACAAGTCCCTGATGTCTTTCCCACTATGGTCAGAGATAGTAGTGGCTGGTGATGAAGCATGGGTGGGGCTGCCTTGCCCTTCCACCTGCCCAGACCATGCTAGAGGAGAGGACCAATGCAGCAGGGAGCATGGTGCAGGCACTGTGATGAAGCCAGTTCTTTGCTTCTGAATCCTAATGTGCCAAGCCCACCCCCTTCACAGTAACGGGCAACAATGCACGGAAACCAGGAAAGCAATGCAGCCCCATTGTGCCCACCGCACAAGCTGCTGATGGTCAGGTGTGTTTATTTTTGTATGACAGTGATTGTTTCTAAATTTGCATAAAAATATATTCATATAAATTTATTCGTATAAATTACCATGTGCAATATTTATGCAAATTTGTTTCCTCTTTTGGCGATGCCGATCCTCTTTTCTTTGGCAATGCATAATATCCCCCCCACTAAAGTGGTAGTAAATTTAATCCTCTGCAGCCTTGTGGGATGGCCTGGCTCCTTTTGGTTCTTAGAAACTGCTTTATCAAGAGGTTGGTTTAAAAAGCTGGGGAATTAATTCTGAGGCGAGTTCTTTGAAGATGGAGGAGAGTCTGAGCAGACTGCAGAGAGGGAGAAAAAACTATCAAGAGAAGGCAGAGTAGGAAAAGGAATCTGCAGCCTTCAGTGGAGGCTGATCCATTAGCTCCCTTAGGCAGGCCCCACCTGCTTGTCTTCTGGCATCCAGTCCAGGAGATGACTCTGTGTGGCAGCTTCCTCCTTCTCCAATGCAGTGTTGTTCTTGTAGCACTTAGCAGGAAGAAGGATGCAAACAAAGCTAGAATTAGAATACAGTCATACCTCAGGTTGAAGTAGCGTCAGGAGGAATATTTTCAGGTTGCGCTCCACGGCGACCCGGAAGTAACGGAGCGCGTTACTTCCGGGTTTCGCCACTCGCATATGCGCAGATGCTCAAAATGACTTCACGCGCATGCGCGGAAGCGCCAAATCGCAACTCGTGCGGACGCAGGTTGCGTTCACTTCTGGATGCAAACAGGGCCCTGGAACGGATCCCATTCACATCCAGAGGTACCACTGTACCACAAATCTCAGAATTCCCTCCACAACAAGAAGTTGCTAGGAAGGAAAGCTGAATTACACAAGATTAGCTACAAATGGATCAAGGATGCTTGGAAATACCCAGTGCTTTTTTTCTTTAAAAAAATATTTAGGGGTACTCTCATTTTCCTACTCATATTGAAATACTGCCCCTCAATGAGGCCAAACTTAGATTCACAAAATGTTTAGGGGTAGGCATATCCCTGCGTCCCCCCAGAACAAAAAGCACTGGAAATACCTATGGGTTGCATATTCCAATAACCAACTATCCAGGATTCTATATCATAGAATTGTAGAGTTGGAAGGGACCCTGAGGGATCATTTAGTCTAACCCTCTGCAGTGCCGGAACATGCAGCTGTCCCATACAGGGCTCAAATCTGCAATTTTGGTGTTATCAGCACCCGCTCTAACCAACTGAGTAATAAGTTTAAAGGACAGCCAGGATTTTAAGAAAAAAACTTGCAGGTGCAAGGTACACGGAATGCATCATTGATGGCATTGGAGGACCTGTGAGGATGGTGATATTTCTGCAGCTGTTATATTATTATCAGACCATCCCCATCTGCATTCCACCAAAAAACTACAGCACTGGCAGAAAGCACTAGATGATTTTGTACAGAAGGGGTTTTATAGAGTCCCTTCTGTGGCTATAAAATGCTTACCTAGCAAGGTGAGACCCAGGGTAATGGATTTACACTCATATCATAACACAGCCCATTTAAGGCCTGTTATGCATTACGTAAACTCTGCCAAGCAAAATAAATGGTTAGAATAAAAGATAGAACATTCCCATTCAGAACTGCAACTCCTAGGCAGGGATGAGGGCAAACTTCATTCACTTTCCATTTAAAGGAAAGTCTATCTAGCTAATTTATGCTTCTTGAAATAATACATAAACCAAAACACAGCCATCATTGAAGATTCACACTACTCCCAAATTTCGAAATGTAGTTCTCCAGCCAAGTAATGTATACAAAAATACATTTATTGGGGTAAAGTATGGATAAAAAAGCATAGCTTGGTGAAAGCAATGCATTATATTAGACAAAATTCCTTTGCAAAAAATTGCATTTTAAGAGAAATTTGTACTAAAATGCTAGTGATTTTTTGTTAAAAACTTTAAAAAACAACCCACTAGCTGATATGGAATTATGGAGAATTGAACTTAAGATTCAAAAAAGGAAAAATTGAGAGCAACCAAACTTGATAGATTCACCTAACTCTAATCCTAGGCATATCACTTCATGTCTTTATAGGAAGTTAGGATTTTACAGGTGGAGTAGTAATTCATGATTATATGGCTATCTCTGTTTTAATTGTGGCTGAAATTGTGTT